GGATCAGATGCCATGGTCTTAGCTTTTTGAATGTTGAGTTTTAAGCCAGCTTTTTTAGTCTCCTCTTTCACTTTCATCAAGAGGCTCTTCAGTTCCTCTTCACTTTCTGCCATAAGGGTGGTGTCATCTGCATATCTGAGATTATTGATACTTCTCCCAGCAATCTTGATTCCAGCCTGTGCTTCATCCCACCCAGCATTACACATGATGTACTCTGCATATAAGTTAAATAAGCAGGGTGACAATATACAGCCTTGATGTACTCCTTTCCCAATGTGGAACCTGTCTGTTGTTCCATGTTGAGTTCTAACTATTGCTTCTTGATCTGACTTCTCAGATAGGTGCTATTTTGCCTGCACGGTTTTAAACTGTTTTTCTCTTTTTTTAAAAAAATAATGATTTATTTTATTTTTGGCCATTCCACATAACTTGTGGAATCTTATTTCCCTGACCAGGGGTTGAACCCAGACCTCAGCAGTGAAAGTGCAGAGTCCTCATCACTGGGCCACCAGGGAATTCCTGGAGAGGCTGACTTTAGATGGATGAGCAGGAAGTTGTCTTTGAGGGAGTGATATTTATCCTAAATGACCCAAACCAGATCTGAAAAAAGTATTCTAAAAAGAGAAACAGCAAGTAGAAAGATCCTGAAGTGGAACCAAGCTTGACTGGGCAGGACACATGAGGTAGAGAAAGAGATGAAGTAACACAGAAGGCAGGGTTTAGATCACATAGAACTTTATTTCAGACTTGGACTTATTCTAAGGACATTAACTGGACTTAGTTATAAGGGCATTTGGAAGCTGTTAGATAATGTTAAACAGGGGGATGCATTGATTTATATTAATTTTGAAAGCTCTTTCTAGACACTGGTTAGATTATAGATTGGCAATTGTGCAAGAGGGGAGGCCAAATAGGAATCATTGTTAACAATCCAGGTAAGAAATGACACCTAGTCTAGACAAGGCGGTAATAGTGGAGATAGAGGCAGATTCGGGATCTGTTTTAGAGAGAGAGACAACAGAACTTGGCAGGGGGAGTGGATTTAAGGCAGGAGCAAATGAGAGGACTCTACAGGGGTATGCTGCTTCCCTCCACGGAGATGGGAAACTGAAGGAGCAGGATTTCCCATGCTTTATTTGAAATGCCCGTGAAACACCTAGATGGAGATGGCAGGCATATAGGTGGATAAATAAGAATTCATGGAGCACGTGTTAAGCATCCTTTTGGGAATTTTCATCCTGCCTGTGGAAACCTAGAAATGTTCAAGAATGGACCTGAAAGGGCAGTCCCCTTTGCCTGGGGAGCAGAGGAGGTGTCCTACGAGGTCCAGATCGCCACCACCTAAAGGGTTTAAGCACTCCCGGAGCAATGGGATGCTTCATTTCACATAGCAGAGGTGCTGTAAAGAATTGTGCCGGTCAAGCAAATTGCAAATTGCTATTTGACCTTCATGTACATTTCATTTTGCCAAGCACCTTCTCCTTCATTTTGAATGGTCTTCAGTTGACACTTAGCAGGAAGTTTCTAGTTTCTGCTGCCCCTTCTCCATTCTCATCACTCTGATGCCCTGGCTTTACTAACCAGCCTTTACTCCATGGATTGTTTCAGTTGAAAAGCTTAAATTCACCCTCTAATGATTCTGGGGTACAGGGAGAGGTCTCTAAGAGAGGAAATAGCTCAGGAAATGGCTGGCCTCTTCCCTACTTCTGAAAAGTTGAGGAAGAAAACAAAAGAGTGAGACCGGCCCCTAGAAGTGATTTTAGGTCTGGTAGCCAGGTGTGCTGAGCTAATACTGAATTCCAGAATGAAGGGCTGTCTCCATCCAGTTCCAAGCAGCTCTAGGCTGGGAGCATCCAGGCCCTGGGGAGAGCAGCAGAAATTAGTTTTTTCCTGTAGGTTGCATCTCCCAAGAGGAAGAAGGTGGCAGAAATGAACCTGGTATACTCAGTTACTCTGCCTAAATTTACTTTCCATCATCAGAGGTGAATTGCTTAAGCCTTGGAGAGAAGCCAGGAAACAGTCCTCCTCATGGAAACTTGGAGTGGAGAAAGGATATTCTCCCCTAATGATAATAGAAATGTTCATCATTAATTGGCTGGTTTTATACATTTGGCTTTTCAGTAACTAAGACACAGTTAAGTTCAACAAGCAGATACAAGCACAACTCTGACACAAACTATGCAATTTGGGGAAAGTTAGTTGAGCTGTTTCAGGCTTCTCATTTGCAAAAATAAGGGTAAGAGTACCTACCTTGTGAGATCATTCATGTAACACACAAAATGCAGTGCATGGATCAGAAGAAGCATTCGATAAAGATTTGCCGCTACTATTACTACTGTGCGAGTGACTATCACTATTACCAAGTTAGAAAATCTGTTAGGTTCCAGGGATATAAAAGATAGCTTTTATATATAAAAGATATAAACAATAAAAGATAGCTCGCCAGGTTCTTCTGTCCATGGGGATTCTCCAGGCAAGAACACTGGAGTGGGTTGCCATGCCTTCCTCCAGGGCATCTTCCCAACCTAGGTCTCCTGCATTGCAGGCAGATTCTTTACAGTCTGAGCCACCGGGGAAGCCCATTTAAAGCTAAGGAGACAGGCATTAAAAAAAAAAAAAAACTTTAAAATACAGTGGCATGCACGTGTAGTAGAGTTTCTTGCCAGACGGGTGCCTACTAGTGATTACATTTTAGTGAGATTACATCTATGCAGGCCAGGACAAAAAAAATCTTGGAATTGTTGAGCATCCAACATCTTTATTGGGTGGGGGTCATGTAAGTAGCTCTGTCTGCAAAAGAGATTATCAGGAAATTGCCTGTGTTTTTAGGTGTGTGTGTTTTTTTTCCCTCCTAAAAATTAGGGAAGTTACCAGTGATGAGTAGAACAATGATGGCTCTAAATCTTCAAGGTAGTGAAAGCTAGAACCAGCCTTGATTGATTTAGCACACAAGGGCATGGAAAGAGCTGATCACTTTGGAATCTGACACCTGGAGCTTGAATTGGCAGAGTCTGAGGGCCCCTGACTCAGGGTGACATTGGAACAGGCCAATAGGGCCCCACTCCGGGAAGATTCTGACACTGCACTGACCTCCTGTGCAAGTGCCCCCTGAGGGCAAGGCTTCCGGTCTGTTCACTTCTGCCAAACAGCTTTGCTGCCTTGGCCCTGAGCCACCCCTCACCCACAGACATCCTGCAGCGGAACCCCTAAGTCCTCACTGCCACACTTGCTGAGGCGACTGGGGATTCAGCCATGAGTACTTCCTGTTAGCTCTGGAGTGTGGGAGCCCACCCCCAGAAAATAGGCCAAGCATCTTCCAGGAATCAGGGACACATGGCCAGTTTTGTTGCATTCATCCTCTGCCTCAGCCATTAGACTGAGCCACCAGACTTCCCTTCAGGTATCTCTCAAGCACTGCTAGGCTGTTGGTATGAAGGAGAGGGAGTTGGGGGGAGGATAGTTCACACCTCTGGGTTCTCTATTACTAGTTTGTGAGACTCAAACATTTGCACCCTAGGGATACACTGGGAGGTAAAATAGTTGTATGCCAAATTGTAAGGCACCCTGGTTACTAACACAGTAATAGAGCAGGCATAAGCTACAGTAGCAATTACCAAGGAGTGATGAATTTTGCAAGAGGAGGTGTTTAGGGAAGGCTTCTGAGAGGTTGGCAGGAAGGGGATTTGAAAGTATGAGTAGGAGTTTACAGTGACAGAATGGAGGAAGTTAATTACAGACAGGAAGAATGGCATGGACCGAAGCTTTACTAACCCATGACATAACATGGTTTCAATGAACTAAAAGTAGGTCTGTCTACTCTGCCAGATTGTTTTGGTGGATTCGTTTCTCGTTCCAATATTTACTGATAACCTTCCTTAGTTTTTTCACAATGCACAGGTTTAATATATGTAATATATATAAAGAATAATGGTGCCTGGCACATGGTTAGCACAACCTTAGTCACACTTAATAGCTCAACATTTTTTAATAAGATGGAAAAATATTCTCAGCCAATCATTCTTTTCTGTTTTTTAGTCTTACCTACCCCAGCCTCATCCTTCAAAAATCCTAAACACTCTTATTTCAAAAGCCAAACAAACATTTTAAGAGGCCAGTCTAAGATCGATGTGGCCCAAAACATGTAAAACAAAAGGCGTTGCAGGAAAAGGGTAATGTTAGATGTTTTTGATCTGGAGGTGATTATAGGCAAACAATATCTAAAACAAAGCTTGAAATTTTTCTTCTGTCATTTCCTAAGTCTCATTTCAAAGGTTTGTTCACATAATCGCATCTTGACGCTCAAGAACACTGTCCTCAGTAGATTGCCAGGTCGGAGACTGCATCGAGAATCGGTGAAGTGTGGAACCCGTCTAAGGGGTGGCGATTCCCTCAAGTGCCACGTAACCAGGACGCCCTAACTAACTTGACATCTAGGAAAAGCTAAGAGAAGAGACGGTGGGGGGGGGGCGGTCTGGATATTAGGGCAGAAGACTCAGGAGGAAACAAGAAATAAAGAGCCGCGCGGTTCTGGGGCGGGGGGACACCGCGAGGTGAAGAGGGGCCAAAGTGAGGCGCAAGAAGGATGCGAGACAAGGAGAGCCACGCGGCTCCCAGCACCTAGGGAGCGCCGGGTCCAATGGCAGGACGGCGCGAGCCGCACCTCAACCTGCCCGAGGACGTCACGACGCCGAGGCGGACGCCGGGCCAATGGGAGGCCGTCACAGGCAGGGGCGGGGCCCGGAGGAACTGGGTCGGGCCGCGCTGAGACAGTTGGCAGAGTCGTGCGGCCAGGACTGGGGGAGGACCAGTCGCCGGCGGCAGACGCCGGCCCCCCCCCTGTCTCACGTCCTCCGCTGGTCACTTCCCGCATGCCGCAGGCTCCTCCCTGAGCCGCGGCGGCTAGGAGTGGGGGGCGCGTCCGGGAACGGCTCGGGGTCGAAGCTTCCAGTCGCCCGCACTTCCTCCTGAGACGCCGGTGCGCGGCTGTCTCGGCGGGCGGGATGGCGGCGGCGGCCCGGGGTAGCGGCCGCGCATCTGCGCCCGGGCTTCTTCTGCTCCTGCTGGTTCCTCTGCTGTGGGCCCCGGCCGGGGTCCGGGCCGTACCCGACGAAGCCCTCAGCCACCGGAACAAGGAACCGCCGGCGCCTGCCCAGCAGCTGCAGCCGCAGCCCGCGGCCGTGCAGGGCCCCGAGCCGGCCCGGGTCGAGGTGAGCTGGACGGGCCCGGGAAGGCGAGGCTGCGGAGCCGGCGGCGCCGGGTACCAGGTTCGCCGCTGCCGGAGCGCCGCCCTCGACTCAGGCTGCCGGCGCGGGGAGGGGAGCTCGGCCCCGGCTTCCTGGGGTGGAAGACCGGGGAGTGTGCCCTTCCCGGGTGGGCCCTGGCCTCGCCCAGCCCCTTATGGGGGAGGGGAGAGCAGAGCTGGGAGGCCACTATAAAGCTTTAGTTCGGGAGGATGCAGATGCTGCTGAGGAAGGAGGGGTCCTGTTGATCAGATGGATCCTGGAGAGCTAGAAATACTCATCCCAAGTAGAAAGTTTTTAACGGAGGGCAGCTGGGAGGCTTTTCGTATTCTCTGAGAATAATAACATCGGTCATTTCATTGTTGAAACAGCTTATCCCGAACTGTTTACCAAATTTAGCGCTGCACAACTTGTGATTTTTGCCAAATATATGTGGATAAGGAATGGTGACTGTTAAAAACGTGCTCTGGCTTGCAGGAAGTAACCCTGAGGAATGCAGAGGAATAGTCTGTATGCAAGCAGTGTGGGATGCCAAAGACTATAAGTGTACCAGAATCTTGTATTTTGGCTTTCACTAAGTAGATATTAACATCTTAATTTATGTTAATAGAATCACTTAGTGACTAGTGTTCAAAATCTCAGCAGCGTTTTTATTTTTAATCCCACTCTGGGTCCTGGGCTTTCTCCTCGTTTCCAGTTTGGGTTTCTGAACTCAGATCCTCGTAGTCTTTTCTAGTAGAGGACTTGGGCGCTCAACCGTCACATTTCCACCCCAGGCTACCTCCAGCCTGTCCTCACCTAACTCATCTTCCTCCCATTGAATTGCATTGTCCTTCTCAGAAATCTTCAGTGAGTTGCCTGTCTTACTGATTTCAGTCCAGCCTCTTCAGCAGGATATTCAGGTTTCTTGGCAATCTGACTGCAGTCCACCCCTCCAGGCTTTTTAGCCGCACACCCAGTCATACCACTGTACTCACATCCAAGACCTGCCATGCGCTCTGTTGCTTTCCAACAAAGACCTTCAAGTAAAAGGGATTTAATGAGCTTGAAGCCCACTGATCAGAACCTTTCCCACTTTTCAAGAAGCAGCAGGTTATCTCCTCTCTGAAGACCTCCCTGAAATTTCCTGACTAAAAGTGATTTCTCTCTCCTGCCTGTGACTCCTGGGTCCAGCTGACCCAGCTTGCCATGTCCACTTCTGAAATTGAACTGAAATGCTGATTCATGAAATTCATTCTTAATGTTCATCTTTTAGCCTTCTGTCATCTCACTCTTTATCAGAAGTTTATTTTAAAGCAATAAATATTTGGGGTTATGTTATCCAGGTCTTACATTAAAGTGTTGGTCATATAGTGATTTTTGAGATACAAATAGTGGTAGGTATGCTGGTTGATACCCTTTTAGACAGCTGGGAGAAGTATAGCTGTGTTAAAAAAAAAAAAAGGCAATAGTGTCCAGTGACCATATTTAAGTGTCCTAAGAATCCTGTCTTTAAAACTGGGGGTGTGGAGGGAAGGGACAGGCACAATATAATTTTTGTTTTTACTGTTTTGATATATTCTTGGTGGTTCTGATTTTTTTTTGTTTGTTTTTTTTCCATTTATTTTTATTAGTTGGAGGCTAATTACTTTACATTGGTGGTTCTTCTTAGACAGTAGGAAATTATTCTGTATTTTAGTAGAATCTAATTTTGTTTTTAATTCTTTTTTCATGTAGCTTTTTGTTTTAGCTCTTTTTTTCCTCTTGTATTACAGTATGTTGGAAAAGTTTTTTTTTCACATATTTTCTAAACTATGTAATATAAGTATCATTTGCTTTTTTTTGTCCACTTGGTGGAAGTCAGAGTTCAGTTTAATAGCCATGTAGGCAAGGATTCAGCATCACCAAATATCAAAAAGTTTCAAGTGTTTTGCTTTGCAACTACATGCAGCAGATCTTTTTAAAGTGTAGGATACATAAATATATGTTTTCATGCCACTATGTTAGTTTCCTCTTTTGAAAATGGAGAGGAAAAAAAATCTCCTTTATTAGGAAGCTTTCAAATGTAAGATGTATTGTAAAAATGTAGTTGTACTTTATAGGGTGCTTTGAAGCAAGATTACTGAACTTTTAATAGGATTTTCTACATTGAATTTTTTTTCTCTCTCTATAATCAGGTGAAAAAAAGTTGAGGGAGTTTACTTATAGTTAAAAATAAACCCCATTTCACAAACCCATGAAAAAAGCACTGTTGATTGCTGGGATCGTTTCATTTATGCAGTTTAGTGACATACTCAATTTTTTTCTTATTCCTTTCTTGGGTCAGGGACTTCAGATAGATTTAATAGAGGTAATTTGTAATTTGTTATGTATCCTGGAAGGCTAAAGAAGGACTGCTCTGGTTTCAAAGCACTGTTGATAAATCCACAGAAGCCTACCTCTCAACCCAGAACAAATTCTCTATACTGTATTTCTACTTTACTGTTTCTTGGCATTTCTTTTATGTAGTATCTTTTAACACAAAGCTTTTCACACAGTATTTTTAACTTTTTTCTGTTTTCATTAAGTTTCAGTCCTGTTCCATCTAGTCCAAACTCCCAGTTCTCTTTACAGCTAAGACTGAAGCCATCAGGCATGAAGACCCTTGTCTTACTCATTGTTGCTTCAGAATGAAGTGATCTGATGTTACTGCATTTATTTTTTGGTGTTTTACTATCAGAGCAGTTAATTTAAAAAAAAATCAATGAAACCGGATACATTTCAAATGTCAAAATTTATAAACACATTGCAAAACCGTAACATTTATAAAAGCAAACATAAACATTCATTAAAATAAAAATGTAATTATTAAATATGTTATTCTAATATGAATTAACAGTAAATTCATAAAAAATTTTTAAAAACTAAGCCATCCACAAATAAAAAGATGATCACGAATATTTATAATAAAATTAATTTATTTCTTTATTTTAATGCCATCTTTTAAAACCAAGTTTATCAATGGTGTCACAGTTTAAGTTACAGGGGTATTTTTACACACATTTTTCCAGCTTCGGAAAGGTTTTTCTGACTTGATACAATAAAGCAGTGGCAAGGAGACAGCTGTAAGCCAGTTTTAAGCGCTTTCCTATAACTCCTTTATCTTCAAATAATCTCACTTCTTGTGTGGTAACTTGTTGAGGAACTTTGTTTTTGTTTTTGCAGGGACATCAATCTTTTTCTCGGTAGCAGGCTGTAGATTTTGTTTAAAAGAAAGCATCTTCATCTTCTTTAGTTTCATTATGTGTAGATGGAGATTCTGATGCAGCTGTCTGTATCAGTTTTAATACATATGTGTTCATTTGAACTCTGGAACTAGAATAGAAATTATTTTTTCATTGTTAATTGCTATTTTCTTCCTTTTCTTGAAGATAAAGAGAAGAGTCTTTAGATATTTAGAATATTTTTATTTTAAAAAATGAAAGGTTATTCTCTAAATGAGGGTGCTTTTTCACAATTTTTCAATTTCAAACTAATTTTAACTTTAAGTAAAGAAGAGTTATATTAAGTTTTTTGTCTTTGGTTTTTAACTATAAGTTATTGACCCTACTCTCAGGATGTAAATAATTTGGATTTTAGATCCAAATCTGCAAGAATGGTATTTGTACGGAGGAGAAGAGTGTATTTCATTACTTTAACGCTGTGTAACTGACCAGTGAAATGCCAAAATTGGAATTATAGTCGCTGCCTCTGACCTTTCTGTACTAATTTAAATATTTGCTTCTGTGCTAGGACTTTCTGCCTTTCTTCTGTAATGGACAAAACTGTCACCGTTTCCATACTGCCTCTCTCTGTTCATGTGCCCGTACTCCTGACCTCTAGTACTTTACTTCCTGAGTATCTTTATTCTCTCCTTTTCTTTGTTTGGTTCCTTTTTATCTGCTTACGCATTCCCACAGGTTTCTCCCGTTTGGAGGGGGTGAGGGGAAAGGCAATTGTTTTAACTGCTTGATTGCATTAGTTTCTGTTCTTCAGCTTTATAAATGAAATTTCTAACTAGAGAATTACCCGCTTTTTCACCTTGCTTTAGTCTTCTCTTATCTGGCATCATCCCATGTCTTTATATTGAAATTTCATTTTTGAAGGATACCTGTAAACTAATTAATTGCTAAATCCAGGGCTCTTTTTCAATTCTTCTGTAACACTGTTAACTCTACATTTTTAAGAGCCCTACTCTACCTCAGTTTGTATGAACTTGAGGAAGTTATTTAACCCTATTGGTTCTCAGTTTCTTCTTTTATGTTAAATTGGGATAACAGCTTTAAGGTTTTTGAGTATCAAATAAAACAGTATATGAAAATCCCTGGCATTTAGTTAGTAGCTCAGTGAAATGGTGATTGCCCTTAACTTGACCATCTGTGGTGGTGTTCTGCCTGCCTCTCTAAATATCCAAGACAATTTTCTCTTTGTTTCCCTCCTCCACTCCCTTCCCTAAATATAGACATTGTCTGAACTTCATTTTTTTCAAAGTAATTTCTGCCTTTTCCCTTCAAAATCTAGTCTTACAAAGCTCTAGCTGATAAATTCAGGTTACCAGCAACCAGATACATACCTTGAGACTATGCTGGCCCAAACTCAGGTGTTTCATTTCTGAAATCTCTTGGATTTCCAAACCTCTTGGAAATCTTTATTTGAAATGCTTTTTATCCTCAAGTCGAACATGTGTGAAACCAAGCCCCTTATTTTTGTTCCTCTTTCCCATATATCTTAGAGGAATATGAATAGCATCTTTGCCTTTTAAAAATTCTATTATTTTTCTTTCTCATCATGTACAGGGTTTTTTCTTTTATCTTGTCTTCAACATGAGTCCTGTGCAGTAGACCTCCTAATTAATTGTTCCAGTGGCTGGTATTCTTTACTTTCTGTCCTGATCTATTAGTCACAGTGCCTTAATTACGTTTGTGTCTTCCACTCAAAAACTTTAAAGGGCTTCTCCCTTGCCTCTAAGC